TGTGTGTGTGTGTGTGTGTGTGTGTGTGTGTGTGTCATTACGGGCGAGGAGTGGCTGTGTTGTCTTTCCTCCACCCACCGTAATCCTCGTATTTGCCTGCAGTGAGTGAGGCGAGGAGGGTTGACGTTGTGGAAGAGTTGAAAGCCTCGTTGGTAATTGGTTGAGGTGAATTATTCAGCCAAATCCTGAAGCGAATCCTGTTGACCATCGCATTGTGTGGGACGGTCTCTGTGAAGAGCAAAGTAGTTAAATTTTAGCTTAAAGGAGCCATGAATGCGCTTTCACTGTTTTACTTATTGAATGTGAAACTTTATAATTGATGTGTGCTAAAATGCAGCCCTTCCCATATCCGAATGTCGAATGAAGATGCAAATCGAAGTGTATATAAGTATAGAATCGGTACTAGCGTAGAAAAAGTGACACTTCAAGGAGGACTTTACAGTGGCTGCATATTTGCCGAATATTTATTAAATGACAGCATTAGATAATGCACATTTTGTCTACTTTGCAGGAAGGCGCTACTCATCAAACTCAGTAGCGTGTCTCTCAAACCCAAGCAAATTATGTTTAAGATGGGAGTGGTTTCCGGAATCAAGGCAAAAATCAGAAGTGTACAATAGTTCTTTTTTTCAAAAGTACATTTGTCCCGGATTTTTATGCTGCAGGTAAACAAGATGAATGCTCAGGAAGAACATCCATAGTTTGGTTTGATGAGCATTTAAGCGGGATAATCTGCAGAACGTCAATTTACCCTCAGTTTGACGGGCACTAATATAATACTTAGAAAGTTGATTGGCTGAGTTCCTTCCTCGAATCTTATTGGTCATATAGCTGCCAATAAGATTCATCTGCATATGTGTTGACAAAATCCATTGTCTTAAGGCAATTTGTTCTGCCTAAGTTAATAATTACAAATAGTTAATGTGAGTTTGTTAGTCGTTCTGTTGCAATGAAGATATAACGGATACCTTTTTTACTTTTAACCACGTTTATCCAAATTTTTGTTGTTCTACAGCATGGGTCGAGGTATGTCACACGGCTTCATGGTTGTTTTTAATTTCCTTGCTGCCCTCCTCACCGTAAGTTATTATTCGTGTGCGGCTGTTCCTGCGATATCGTTTACTGGAGAAGACATTGTCGTTTTTTTCATCTTAGGTTGGTTTCCTCTCAACAGCCATTGTAGGCATTTACCTGATAATATCAAAAAAATTGATAAAATCGGCATTGTGGATTGACTTTGGTGAATACGAGAGGGATGAAGATGAATTACGCATGTTTGTAGACATGATAGCAGAAAGTGCGGGTAAGTAAAAAGTGAAACTATGGAATCACATCTCCACTTCTCCATCCTCTCTTAATTTGGTCCACACAGTATTGGCTTTTTACCTCCAGAATGGATGACCATATACGCCACTGTGATGGGATTCGTCTTAGCACTTCTCTGCTTAATCGGGCTTTTTATCAAATTTATTGGTTACAATACGGTGTTTAAAATAGTGAGTCGGTGTGATATTTGTGTGAAGTAATGACGAACTTATTAACTTTACCACAAATTATTTTCCACTTATTCGCCAGTATTGCGCCATTCTGATTGTTCTTCTTGTTGCACAAATCACTGTTATTACCTTGGCCTTCCCCAATTTCTTCAAATATGCCGACAGATTCGTCGCCTCGAAGATAGCTCTTCTCAGGTCCTACGGAAATAACACCGATGAAGGAAAAAAGGCAACTGGTTTCTGGAATGTGCTCATGA